GGTGGCACATCACTGTCCCCACAGGACACAGCCTCCAGGCAATTGCTGACTTTGGCCATGGCTTTGTTTGAGATGTAATTATCACACCACCCAGTTCACCTCTTCTCAGTGTATAAGATGTAAAGGCCCTTAGCCCTCACTCACCATCCAACCCTGATGCAGAAGCCTCACACCTTCCTGCCTCTGTGGATAGCCTGTTCTGGGCATTCATGTAATGGATTCTTGTGGAGTCATGCTGTGGCAGATACTATTATGGACTTTTGGGAGGGCCATGACCCTGAAAGGCAACAAAGAACCTGTCCAGACTGCCATCCTAGAAGCTTCTCTGGAGAGGCTTTAACAGATTATTTTTAGCCAGTCATGATGTACACACCTTTAATCCCATCACTTGGGAGGCAGAGGCAGGCAGATTTCTGTGAATTCAAAGCCAGCTTGGCCTACATAGTGAGTTCCAGACCTGTCAGGGCCACATAGTGAGACCCTCTCTCAAAAAAACAAAACTATTTGTTTTCATTTATGTTGAATGTATTGTAACACCTGCAGAGTGTGGACCTTCACGCTCCCACTCAGGAAAGGCGACACCCCAAATCATTCACGAGAAGCGGTCTTGATGCAAATAGCATGAGGAGTTTTTATTCCAAGTGCACTGGGGTTCACAGTCATACGCCATGCAGGGGTAGAGGACTGAGGACCTCGAGGGCAGAATTGAGACAGCTTTTATAGGATTTACATCAAAGCTAACAAGGCCAGTTTCAAAGCTAGCCTGCTATTTTCATTAGGCCTAAAAGCAAGGTCATGGGATAGTTCAAAACTTGGAATGGTTAGTAAGGTTTCCTAGGTTACAGAGATTTAGCACACCTGCAAGGTTAGGGGGTTTTCTTTCTCAAGAACCGGAGGACTCAGTGGCCTTGTCCTTGAGCAGCTGGGAGAATGTACTTTCCAGTCAGGGAGTTATCTATATCTATTGGCAGAGGCTCTTGTTTTCTCTGTCTTTCCCTTTTTGCTATGAGTCCCATCTCTTAGTTACTAATTTTCTTTGTGGACAGGATGACCCATAACAGTTCCCAGACTGTTGTTGTGGATAACAACATTCTTCAGAAACTAGGTGATTATGAATAATAGTAATAATAATATCCAGAAACCAGTCATCGTGATTAAGCTATTTCATGTGTTTTTCTTTTTTTCCTGAGCTTTGCATGCAGCTAGGGTGATTTTTAAATACATGCTGATGGACTTTTTCTAAATTTCTAACTTTTAGTGGTCATTAGAGAGTTAAGCTGTATTTTCATCCTTTCATTATGTGTCTGTGTTTGGGTATGTGCACATAAAGGCCAGAGGGGGCCTCAGATTCTAGAGCTGGAAATACAAGTCGCAAGCCTCCCAACATTGGTTGGGACCTCCAGGAGAGCAGTACATAATCTTAAGCACCCAGCTATCACTCCACCACCAAGAGGCTTTTTATCTTAGTCACCTATTGCACACCTGCCATGTGTCACCAAGAAGAGGAGCCTCAGACACTGCATGACCCATGCAAGAGGGTCATGCGTGTCCCTGGCAATGAAGAAGAGTATTTCCAAGCCCCAAGTGAGTGTGACAGGATGTAAGAATGACACTGCCTAGCATGTCTTGGGTTTGGTCCCCAGCACCACATAAACTGAGCATGGCATCTCAAGCCTGAATCCCAGTGCTTGGGAGGTGAAGGCAGGAGGATCAGAAATTCAAGATTAACCTGGGCTTGATGAGCTTGAGACCAACTTATGTTACATAAAACTCCAGCTCAGAAAGATACAAACACTCAGATGAGGGCAGGGCCACTTTGATTTGGGGATGAGGGTGTGGCAGAGACAGGTTTAAGGTTAAATGGAGGACCAAGAGTATGGGAGATAAAGCTAGGACACCTATTGATCCATCGGCTGTGGTGGATCAATTCTGCCTTAGCTGAGGGATACTGAGCTGCCAAAGTTGCAGAGGCAGCAAGGGCTGCTGTGAGGTCCTAGCCAGCCCCTGCTGTGAGCAGTTCTGAAGGGCCCTCACTGACTTCTGCTCCTTCACACACCATGGAACATCTTGTAAGCTGGGAGCTACCGGATCCTCAGAAAGATCCAACATAAGCAGATCCTGGGAGACATAACCCTGGCCACTAGGGGTAGTCTCAGCCCATGACCTTGGACACACCAGCAAAAGTGTGTCCACGGACCACAGGCTGATAGTACTGGAAAGCCACATGGCTCTGACATTTACTCAGTCCATGGGCTGAAGACAAAAAAACTGGGGTTCCCACCAGACTCTGCCTGTCCTACCCATCGCCACGTGGATGTACCTCACTCACTCTCCCCACCTGAAAAGTGGGGACAATGAGCCCTGAGACCCTACATTGATGCTTCCCAACCTTCCCTTTAGTACAAAGTTCCTCCTGTGTCGTGGTGACCTCCCAATCATAAAATTATTTGGGTTGCTACTTCATAATGTAATTCTGTTACTGTTGTAAATAATAATATCAATGTGTGTTTTCTGATGGTCTTAGGCTACCCCCTTGAAAGGGTTGTTTGACTCCCCAAAAGGGTTGTGGCCCACAGTTGAGAACCACTGCCCTAAATGGTTGTGAGAAGTGAATGAGAGCAGGCATGGGAGGGATCACAGGAGAGTCTTCATGTGTGAAGAGGAAGATGGAGGAGATGCTCTGTGTGCCAGCAGGGCAGGGCCTCCAGCCTCAGGGAACTTCTATTCTAGAGAGGTGTGGAGATTAAGAAAGAAGCCAGTCCTAGGTGTAGGAATAGTCCATTGTCAAGACAGAACTGCTCACCTAGAGAAAAGCCAGAAACACTGAGCCCCTGCAGACATCTGCTAGTCAAGCTATTCCCACCCACACTAGAAGATTAGAGTAAAAAAAACTATCATTGTATTTCGAGACATGGTTTCTCTGTGTAATAGTCCTGGTCATCCTGGAACTTGCTCTTGTAGACCAGACTGGCCTTGAACTCACAGAGATCTGCCTGCTTCTGTCTTCCAAGTGCCGGGATTAAAGGCATGCACCACGACTGCCCAGCAAGTCAAAAATTACTAGTAGCCAAGTTAGCTTAACAGACTACAGATGTGATGAAGTTTACATGTCTAAAAGCTTTAAAATAAGCAAGGTGTAAAAAGCAGAGATAAATCTAGGCACGTTCTCCATTGAGAAAAGACAAATACAGGACAAGAGGGCTTAGCAGGTAAAAGTGTTTGCCACCAAGCCTGACGATCTGAGTTCAGTTCTCGGAACTCACGTGGAAGGAGAAAAGTGAGTCCCACAGGCTGTCTTCTGTGCGGGCCAGTTTTATGTTAAATTGACACAAGCTACAGTTATCTGAGAGGAGGGAACCTCAGCTGAGAAGATGCCTCCATCAGATCTGCCTGTAGACAAGCCTACAGGGCATTTTCTTAACTAGTGATTAATGATCACTGTGGGCTTGTCCTGGGTTTTGTAAGAAAGCAGACTGAAGGTTGAGCTCCTGGCGTTCAGTTGAAGAGAAGGAGGGGAGGGGGTTTCAAGAGCATGATGGGGGAAACCACAGAGATAGCTGACCTGAACTAGTGGGAGCTCATGAACTATAGACCTGCATGAGACCGAACTATATCCTCTGAATGTGGGTGACAGTTATGTGGCTTGATCTGTTGTTGGGGGGATGATGGCAATATCACCAGGACCTATCCCAGGTGCATGAACTGGCTTTTTGTAGCCCATTTCCTATGGTGGGATACCTTGCTCAGCCTTGATACAGTGGGGAGGGGCTTGGTCCTGCCTCAACTTGGTATTTCAGACTTTGTTGACTCCCCAAGGAAGGCCTTCCTTACTCTCTCTGTGGAGTAGATGGGGATGGGAAGAGGGAGGTGGGGGTAGGAGGAGGGGAGGGAGGGGGAATTGGGGTTGGTATGGAAAATAAATGTTTTTTAAATAAAAAAGGAAGGAAGGAAGGAAAAAAGAAAGACAAAAAAAGTGCGCGCGCGCGCGCGCGCGCGCGAGAGAGAGAGAGAGAGAGAGAGAGAGAGAGAGAGAGAGAGAGAGAGAGAAAGAGAAAGCCAGCTGAGCAAGCCATGAGGAGCAAGGCAGGAAGCAGTACCCCTCCATTATCTGCCTCCAGAATCCTGCCCTGTTTGAGTTCCTGCCCTGACTTCTTTCATGATGGCTTATGATGTAAAAATGTAAGCCAAATAAACCCTTTCCTCCTCAACTTGCTTGTTCATGGTATTTCATAGTAGCAATAGTAACCCTGAATAGAATACCCTCTATCTGCTATGCTCACCCCCATAAACAAATGTTTAAAAACAAGAAATAGAGGATCATAGCAGCAGATATGTAGCGCCCCACCCCCACCCCATCCGTACTCATTTAACAAGGAAAAGGAGGGAGGTGCGGCCCTAGGAGGTTGTGTGGATGTTCTCTGTGCTCAAGGCATGTCCACGACTGTCTAGGGTGGCACCGAATCTTGCAAGGTCATAGAAGAAACTATCTGGTTTCCCTGCCATGAGTCCATTGCTGGCTCCTATGTAAGAGGGTCCTCATTCCTCACATAGGCGAAATCTGCTTGCCCCCGAAAGACTCCCCATCCCTTAGGAGTTGTGGGTGATTTGTTTATAAAGTGGGGGGGAGGTCTGTGGCTGATCATGGTGACATCCTGGGCATCAAGGAAGAGCTGGCTGCAGACCCAGAAGGTAGGAGTCATTATCCAGATGCTAAGAGGATGACAGTGAGTTCCCATGGTCCCCACCCCCGGGTGAGAACTCAAAGAGGAAGTGGTTTCCTCCAGCCACCTGTGCATGGTTGGGGCTGTGCCAGATAGTGTTCAGTACAGAAACTGGCCCTCTGTCCCAATGCCTCTTTCAGTGTTCTAGAGCTTTTATTCCAGTCCCCAGATAGTGGAGCCCTATCTGCCCCCTGCTGCCCCCTGCTGCTGGGGGAGCTGGTGCTTGGCCCTGCGAAGTGAAAGACTCCTCCCCTTACCTTGGCCCTCTTGCCCCAACAGGCAGAGCTCGGCAAGCCCCGGGAGAGAAGCTGCAGCCTGCCTGGCATCAACTTCAATTATGGACTCTACATCCGGGGGCTAGATGGAGGAGTCCCTGAAGGTGAGTGGCTGTCTGTGGGAGCACAGAGATTCAAGAGGTGGATGAAGGACTCACATCTCCTTCCCACTCTCAGCCAGTTCCGATAAAGTGGCTTGGCGGGGACAGAGGGGAAAATAAGAGGGAAAGAGCTGGTATCGCAGTGGTAAGACAATGGCAAAAAGGAGAGCCCTGAAGCAAGCACTGAGCAGTCTCAGGGCCAACCCCCCCCCCCTGAGGTCCCAGTAGAAGTCAAAGCCAACTGGTTTGGTTTTTGTTGTGATAAAATATTCTGACAACAAAGCCAGGCAGTGGTGGTACAGGAAGGAGAATGAGTTTGAGGCCAGCCTGGTCTGCAGAGCAAGTTCCAGGATAGTCAGGGCTACACAGAGAGGCTCTGACAACAAACAGTTTAGGGGAGGGGGCCTTATTTAGCTCACAGTCCCAGGTCACTGCAGGGGAGCAGATGGACATTGCATGCTCGGTCAAGGGCTGAGAGAAGGAATGCACACTTACTTGCCCACAGGCTTGCCTGCGCTCATCTTGACTTCTCAACTCTCACACAGTCCAGGACCCGTGCCTAAGAATGGTGCCGCCCACAGTGGACTGGGTCTCCCGCATCAGTTAACTTAGTTGAGACAACAACACCCCACAGGCTAACCCCAATGTAGACAATCTCTTGTTGAAACTGAGTTGACAGTTAAAGATGACCATCATGTGCCCCCTTTGGGGTCTCTGGGAGTTATACACCCTTCAGGTGCCTTGCTGGCCAAGCCGGGCAGTGCCATCCCCTGTGATGAGAGTACTATGAGCCCTGTACCCTCTCCTCCTACTGACACCCACCCATTATCTCCTTGCCTGCAGCCATTGGACATTGGAATGTGTTTAAGCAGCAACCCACCTGCCCCCACGAGCTGACCCGGAACTATATTGCCATGAACCGAGGGGCTGTCAAAGCTGGCTTGGTGACTGCCAGGGAAAATATGCTCTATCGTGAACTTAATGACATCCGAATCAACGACCAGGAAGACCGACGACAGAAAGAGCCACCCTCTGCCCCTCCCAATGTGACCTTTGGGATCCGTTCACGGTAAGCTCAGGGAACCCAGCTCCTACCTTCTCTGTGGCTAACAAGGGTGGCAATGCCAGCAGGAAACTGGGGGCCAGAAGCAGAGCACTGGAGTGGCCGAAGCCAAGCTGTAGTGGGAAGCAGGAGCAGTTATACACTGGTCAAAGATTTTTCTTATTCAAGGTCATAGGTCATAGGACACAGCACTTTGTAGGCAAGGGCAGGAGGATAGGAATTCACAGCCATTCTTGTCTATCTTGCGTACAAGTTTGAAGCCAGCCTGGCCAACATAAGACACTGCCTTAAATCCAGGGCCCGCTGCAGAAGTATGAGGACTTGAGTCTGGACTGTGACTTGCCAAGAACCTTGCCTCAGTTCCCGTACCTGTACAGTGGGATCATAGCAGTACCTGCTGCCTCCTTGTTAAGAGGTTTCAAGGCTTAACTTTATTGAAGGCTTTTATAGGAGCTGGATCAGCGCACATGAGCTGTGTTGGTAGTTAAGATGCTGCAATTCAAAATGTAACCCAAGAGTGAGGAGATTAGGGGCTGGAGAGATGGCTTAGCAATGGTTAAGAGCACTTGTTGTTTTTGCAAAAGACTCAGGTTCAATTTTCAGCACCTACATGTATAACTCTAGTTCCAGGGTACCTGACACCTTTCTGGTCTCTGTGGGCACAGCACACTCATGATGCACATACATGCATGCAGGCAAACACACACATACAATAAAAATAAACCTTTGTGATTTGACTGTTCCATGACAAACTGAATTATTAGTGTTTGGCTTATAAAATGAAAAATCTCCTATCACAACCTATCAGATAAATGTAGAAAATCTAGCCTGTGCCATGGAAGCATGGGTTACACTGAGAAGTGAGCTCTCTGGTCCTGTGATCACATAGACCACATGGGTCACTGCCAATGTCAGTGCCATGGTCTCTACAGCAAAGACACAACCAGTCTGGAGCCCAGATCAGTCACTTCATACAAGAAAGCCCACATTTACCACGGTACCAGGCCTGCTGGCTGCTCACTGTTTTCAGGACTAGCCCTTTCCTAGTTCTATGCACTTATGCGGCCTCCATCAGAGTGTCTCTCTCCATATCTTTTTCCTACATCAGCCCATGTGCATGATGGGTACCCATTTCACCCTGACTCCAAAAAGAACCATGGGATCAAGCTTGGCCATTCAGGGAACCCGATTCCTCTGCCCCCAGCAATGAGCTATGCCACTCTACCCCTGTTTTGTTTGTTTGTTGCTTGTTGGTTGGTGAGAGTCCCAACCTATCATTTTAACCAGAGGGAATCGGCACATTCCTGACACTGTCAGCCACCATCCCCTCAATTGTTTATCCTTCCAAACTGAAACTCAGCCCCCAAAAGCCCACCAGCTTCCTCAGAGGGAAGCCTCTGCTTAGGCCTCAGATGCCATCTGATGATATTCTTAGGTTTGGGGTTGGTGGGAAAGGAGGTCTGTGTGTACCTTACAAAAGGAGGTTAGCTCAGACACAGGTGGGCAATGAAGGGCTAAAAGGAGGCTAAAGCTAGCCCCAGATAATCTGGCTTTGGGCCTGCAACATTCCACTTCTCTGCAGTCTCTAAGGTCAGTCAATCAGCCTTGTAGAATATCTAATACCTGAGCAGCTTTTTCAGGTCACACCATCCTGCCGGGAAAAATGCTCCAATTCTTCAGAGTCCAGTCTAGCAGCCCCTTTTCATTGGCCCACCCACCTCCCACTAGAAGTGCATTTCTGTGCATGCACACCAAACTTAAAACCTGGGGTGTGGTGGTGGAGAGACACATGGGGAAGTTGGACTAATCACGTTGGTGGAATTCTGGAATCAAGTTAGGTTTATTAACAGTTGCAGACAATACAGTGCACCCAAAATACAGAATGAGGCTGCAATGCGGCCTCTCCTCTCAACCCCAGTGTCGATCAGGAAGGTCTGGGGGAGGGTCACCAAGCCATGGCTTCAGGGCTTCAGCAAGCCCCCCACAGTCACACATCTTTTTCTCTAACTCCACCCCTTGAGCCAAGTGGTCCCTCACAATTGGTCAGCTGAGACAGAATTCCTGCAGCAGCTCATCCTGGAGTCCTCAAGACAGTTTGCTATCAGGGGAAGAGTCTGGGTTAAGAGCAGCTTCAGGTACCAGCTCTGTCTCTGTTCCCAGTTCCCCTAAGGAGGGAGCACTAGGCAGGGAGCCTGCCAGCTTGATTCAGCTCAGCTCAGTGAACCATCTGCTGTGTGACCTTGGGAGTTCTCTTTACCTCTCTGAACTTCTTCCTACTTTCTCTGTTTTACATATGGACTTCCAGAATATGGTTGCTGTACCTTGAATTTTGACACTCTTTTTCACTTGGGAATTCTGTTTCTTCCTCCTGTGTAATAGGAGAGCCATACCAGTAATCTCATTTTCTCTCCCCATTTTTCTATAAACCTTCATCGCCCAATTTTTTTTAATAGACCTTCATTTGATATTCACTGGAGACTAGTAGGGGTCCTTTCTACCCACAGGAGGCTGGGAGGGCTTAGCTGACCTCCCCAAATTCATGCAAGTCAGAGCTTGGTCTATATTCTTTTTGTTGTTGTTGTGGTGGTGGTTTTGTTTGTTTGTTTTTGGTTTATCAAGACAGGGTTTCTCTGTGTAACAGTCCTGGCTGTCCTGGAACTTGCTTTGTAGACCAAGCTGGCCTTGAACTCACTGAGATCCACCTGCCTCTGCCTCCCAAGTTAAAGTTGTTCGCCACCACTGCCTGGCTGGCCCAGATTCTTAAGTAGACTTCTATTTTGAAACTTTTAATATTAGAACATACATTAGCAATCACTTGATTGGAAGATCTTATTGAAAACGGGAGTAGAGAGTTCAGAGAGGCGGGGAGAGTGCCCCAAGGTCACACAGCATTGCTGCTAATGGAGCCAGGCCCACAGTCAGGTGGCAGGCTCCTTATCTGAGGGTCCTCCCTAGGGGCTCCCCTCTTTCTAATGTAGGTTAGGCTCAGGCACCCAGAACCTCTGGTCCCTGGGGAACTTCAGCTTTCCATCCTTCAAGTCAGCTGGGCTCAAGAAGACCATGCATTATCATTAGCTCCCAATTTAAAGTCTTAAATTGCTATAAAACAGAGTGGCCACAATTTCAGGGCAAGGACGTGATGAAGTGCCGGCTGCATCTCCTGTGATGGTAAATGAGCTTTGCATATGCAAATTGAATGGATTTTAAAATGGTATTTAATGACAATTTCGTAGTCGACATTAACATTAATTGCACAGAAATGAAAATGTGGCATTAGGTTGCTGTTAGCTGTGAGTATCGAGCCATAAAGCTCCATCTTTATCAGTGAGGCCTTTCCCATGTGACAGGGCCACTCCACAAATTGCAGGCAGAGGGCTTTTATGGATCAGAAATATCCCCTAGCCAGTCTGATCAGCATCCATTTTGCTTTATTTGTTTGTAAATGGAGGTTAAATGGCCTCCGGAAGGGCTTGGAGCTGCCCAAACTGTGTGGTGCACACCTCACCCTTCTGACTTAGATGCTTGGGAACAGTTAAAAACCCATCACCCTGCCCCGTAATGGGGCTATTACTTTAAAGTTATGGGTTCAAGGCCCATTCCCTGGTGATTGTCCTTAACAAGCCTCCACTGTATTTATTTCTTTACTTTAAAAGCATGTTGAAAACCAAATCAGATTATACTCGACGGCACAAGACTTGTTGAAGTGATTTGCTCCAATAAATAAATAATGAAGTAAATGGGCAGCACCTACATTCTTCTAAGCTGTGTTAAAAATAAATCTCAGACAGACGAGATACACACAAGCCAAGCAGGAGATAGGGTGCTAAGCCAAGACAACTTCAAGGAATCCTGGAGAGTACAGAGGTGAGATGCCAACTCCACTTTTTATGTTTCCCACGGTGTGTCCTCTTTGCCAGATACCCCCGAGAAAGCCCAGCTTTGGAATCCTTCAGTTACTTTCTTAGTGGTGAGATCTAAGCAGGAGAGGTGCCTTGCAATCATCAGTCTTGGAGTGCCCCCCTCCCGCCCCAAAAGCAGAGCTCTAAGCAGGCATCTGAAAGATGGGCCACATGACCCATGGGCATGATTGGAGGATGGACAGGGGACAAGGCAGAGAGGTTCCCTTGTCTCATGTAACAATTTTTTAAAAGGAGGGAGGGCTGGAGGGATGACTCAGGAATTGCCAGGAAAGAGTGAAGACCTGAATTTGAACCCTAGAACCCATGTAAACCAGACAAGCACCTGTACCTGTGGCACTCCACAGAGATGGGAGGGCAGCTCCAGGGTGTGAGAGCCTGGGACAAGCAGTGGGAAACAAGATAATCTATCTCAAACAAGGTGGAAAGCAAGGATCAACACCTGAGGGTGTCTTCTGACCTCCACGCTGTGCCATGGCATTTTCAGTGTTAACATCCCACACACACACACCATCATATGCCCACATCTCACATATATGTCATATACCACATTGTACACACATGTATCATACCCACATCATACCCACGCACATCACACACACCCCACATCACACACACATATCATATACTCACATTGCACACACATCACACACATCACACAACACCATACATCACACACACACAGCACACATCACACACACAGTTTGAAAAGTTTGAACGGGTTGCTTCATTAAAAGGAAAGAAGGCAGGACCGCATATAAAGACTGGACTTCTTGCCCTTCTAGACAAACAGAAGCCTGGGCAGTGGGGTCCTGCCACCGAACCCATACCCTCCATGTATCCCATTCTTGCTAGCTTGGCATCTCTCAGGTCTGTCTTATGTGTCTTGTTTTGGTATCAGAGCTCGGACCTGCTGGTGAAGACTCCTTAGTTGCTTTATTTTTTGAGACAGCATTGCATGTGTCCCAGGCTGGCCTAGAAACTTGCTATGAAGCCAAGGATGGCTTTGAACATCTGATCCTCCTGCCTCTCTCCCCTCCTCTCCAAGGCAGACATCACAGATGTCCCACCATCTCTATCCTTGATCTC